CAAAGGCCCGTTTATGTTTAACAGCGAGGTTTAAAAAAGCCCTTTTAGGGGGCAGGGCCTGCCTTCCCTCAAAAGACTGCTGAACACATGGCTCAGAGCCTGCAGAGGGTGAGGTGACTGTTATGGGAGCCAGCAGGGGAGCGCAGAGTAAAGTCCACTTGTCACCTCCCTGCTGCCCGGGGTGCCGCAGAAGGGAGGCAGCTCTGTGGTGAGACCACAGGTGAGACAGGGGCCCACATACGTGCCTAAGCCAGAAGGTCAGCTCAGCTATGCACAAGGCACGCCGAGGGCCAGCAGGGCTCTGCTCGCCATGGCCGCCCACAGCTCGACCCCAGAGCTCCTCGTGGCATCTTGTTGGACCCACGTGTGGGCGGGGGGCGGGGGAAACCTGAAGCCTGCCCCTTTGGCTGAAGTTCCAAGCTAAGTAAATAGGCCTTTTTCACAGGAGTAAACCGGTTTTATCTCAGCCTGCTGTCTGTGCGGTGCCATTGAGGTGGTGGCCTGCCAAGAACTGTCGTTCTGATTGTTACAGCCCTGTGGAGCTCAGGAATGCCAGTGCCCTTGGCCAGCAAGGCCAGGGGATCAAGAGGCATCCCTGTGGACTGCACATGCCTACTGGCTTTAGCAAGGCAGCTGGAGAGTAGAGGGGGTGGGGGACGCTCACCAGCTTCAGGAAGACAGCTCTCCAGCCCCAGCTGGGGTTGGAGGAGTCTCACCACCCCCACGCTTGCAGACTGCAGCAAGGCAGTGCGATACGGCCACGACCTCTCGCCCGGGCCTGCTTAGCTAGCAGTGGGAGGTGCTGCGGCCAAGCTCGCCCCCCTGAGCTGGCAGGTTCGGTAGAGCGCGCCGTGACAGCTGCCACCAGTGCCTCTGCCTTCGGGAGCACGTCACCGCCCCCGCCCCTCAGCCGCTGCCTTTAGATCGGCAGGTGAATCTCCTCCACGTACAGTCTAGCCACTTTGCAAACTGCTGTTTCTTTGCTGGGTGTCAGGGTAAGTAAGGCCGCATGCAAGACCCTTAATTGGGGGATCTCACAGTAATTTGCAGCCCTTGGATATCAGTCTTGTTGGTTTTCTAAGCCAGCGGTTCTGGGGCTCATCCCCCTGGTGCAGATCTCAGGGACCGGGGTGCCTGGTGCAGGGCGCCAATCCCTCACGATCCTCCCGGGGAAGCACCTGTCCGGTGAGACCCCTGCTGCACACAGTAAGGTGAGGTCTTTGGCGAGACTACGTGCCTCTCCTACCTGTCACAAAGCGGTCTTTGATTCTTTGTCGTGGGAAGCAGCTCATCTAGTTTTCACAGGGAAGTGATCCACGTGTAGCGGTAGACTCAGTGTGTCCGCGGGGGCAGGCGGGCTCAGAAATCTTCCTGCTCTGCCACCTTGGACCTCACCTTAAATCCTTTCGAGATTAAGATGGAGGTTGTTATACTAATTTGTTTCCTTGAATAGCCACCTCCACCTCTGTTTGTATGGAGTCAGCTGTGCCTCTTGTGAGACAGAGCATGAGACTGGCTTAGATAAGTCTGGGTGTGCTGGGGTCAGCAAACCCTTTTGTCGTATTGACGAATGTATTGTGAAGGAACACTATTGTTCCTTCTGTTCTCCGATGCTGGAGTACAGTTTTGAGAATGAATTCCAACAATTCTTATTAGGCAATTGCCCCTCCAGGATTCTGGCAAGGACAACAGAAAGCACACGGAAAGTCGTGATCTGCCATAGTGATTCACCAGTCATTTCGGACATCTAGTTTCCTTCTTGAAGATGAATAGCAGGCTTCCATCCATATATTGATTGACCATCTGCAAAACACCGTGTGGTCTGAGTTGCCCGGATTATTGCCTCAGCCTTCCACAGGTTCTGTTGGAAGCCTCTCATGTCCTCCTTTCATGGGCCGGGTCGTTCTAAAATGCAGATCTATTACTGTCACTTCCACTTGTCACTTGAATGGCCTTGCATTGTCCTTCATTCCTTCTGGCCTTCTCCACGCTTCTTCTTGCTTATAAGCCTCTATATATGCTGCCTTTTGTCCATGATCTGCCTCTCCGTTTTCACACCCCTGCAATTCCCTAAAGAGGCAAACAGCCTTCCCTCTGCCTTGGATGCTGAAGTGTTTCTGTTTGTCTCATCCCAGCCCTGGCCAGGCATTTTTCTTAAAATTTTTTAAATTAAATATATCTATATGAAAAAATAGAACATTCCATTATCATCCGTTATCCCATTGGCCTGGCCAATTTACACTTGTCTTTTGTGCCTCAACTTAAGTTTCACTTTCTCTTAAAAACGATCGCATCATCCCCAAAGTCGTCTTCTTAATTATGACACAAATCACGCTTTAATCATTGCTGTTTTCACTTGTCTCCATTTTTCACCAGAATGTAAATTTTGTTAGAATAGGGACCACAACTGTCCTATTTTTCGTCATAAATCCTTTGCCTAGCACGTTTTAAAGGAAGATTGTAGAATTTATGAATACATTACACAGTTTACAACTTTATGAAGCGAGCATTTTGTTAGCCTCGGTTTACAGATCAGAAAACTGAGGCTCACCAAAGTAAAGCAGCCGTATTTCACAGGTTGAGGACAGTTTAGCAGCTGTCCCGGCACTACCGTTTTCTTTGTGGAAACCTCAAAAAAAAGTCATCGTGTTTCAAAGCTTTAATGCCTTTTATAACAATCATCTTGATGGTCACTCTACAGACTGTGGCAGGAGGGTCATGATGTACCGTAACGATGGATAGGTGCATACGAAATCTTCCGAATTATCTGTATCTTTACTATAACGGTATCTGTATCATCCTAGCTAGCATCATCTTCGATGTGTGCCTCGGCCAAGTCACAAATATCTCATGATTTGATCTGTCTGTTCTGACTCAGCAATTCTTAACATCCTTGTCCACGTCATGGGGAGCCTCCAGGTCCTACCATTTTTGAATATAAAACTAACAGCACGTTCCTAATGCACTCACTCTACCATGGCACTCCTCCATCAAAGAAAAACAACTCAGCTTTGCTCTGGGATCAACAGCACACAAACAAGGCATGAAGTTTACGGAAAACCTTAGCTCCATATCTATTGGATGAATCCAATGTGGCTAATCCACTAATCAAACAAATCTTTGTAATATAAATAAGATTCTACATGTTTTTGATTTTTGCTGTTGAGAACAAAGTTTTCCAGATTGGAGAAAATATGAATCTCATTGCTCCACTGGCTCCTGTAAAAACATCTTGGGAGTAAAAAAAGATATTTTTTGGTTTTCTCTCAGTTTAATTAATCTAGAAATCTCTATTATCTATGTGCCTACCTCTGTAGCTGTCTAGTCTGGAAGGATATATAAGCAAATATTAGAAGGTCAAAGATCAAAAGGTTCACAGCAGTCCTTCCATGTCCTTCTCTGTCACTCCCTTTGGGATCCAGGGCTGTTAAGGCAATGGAAGACCACCATTCTTCAAAGATTTCCAAGCAAAGATTTCAGGCAGCATCTGAACTTTGCATTTACCACAATTAAGAGGAAGAATACAAATATTTGACTATCTCAGTATCTTGCTGTTCTTAAATTTCAGTCTAAAGAAACACAGAAGGATCAAAGCACAGTCTAACTTGGAGAGAGGAGTCCTCGGTTCCCCTCAATACTAAAACTAAGCAAACTATGATGAAGGTGAAATCAAAGTAGTCTTGAAGGATCTCAAGGATGGAAAAAGTCACATTATTCCCCGGTCAGAATTCCTAACCAGTGCTAACACTACTAGGAACAACAGTACCAGAAAGTGCAATAATATTCTGACAAAAATACTCTGACAAAGACAGACACGGCAGGTCATTGGTATAACCACCCTGTACGCTGCATATATGTTGTTAAAGATCAAAAGTGTCCACCTCACATCCACGCCCAGACACTTAGAAGCTTGCTAAGAATTTCCCCCTTGCATTCGCTTATGATGTTTCCTGCAGAGGTTGCAAACCTGCAGCTGAGGGGGCAATTCCAGCTAGCAGACCTGCTTTTATGGGTTCACACAATGAGTTTTGTTTTTTAGATCCATATTTCTCTCCTGAGAAGCCTACGGATCTGGAAACACTGATCTCCACACCGCTGGGTGACAGTACGTGGGGCTGAGCGGTTCACTTCCTTTCCATGGGTTTGCTACAACTGTTTCCCCTTCTGTTTTCTTCTACCAACCCTTTATTCATTGACATCAACTTCCTGTCTCCTTTAGGCACAGGAGTTTGCAATCCCCACTCTATGAAGCCTTCCCCTCCACCTCTACCTGTTCAAATTCTAGTCACTGTTCATGGTTCAACTCAAGCGTCAACCTCTTTTTCCTTTCCCCAACAATCAGATGTGAGCTGTCCCTGTTTTGAAAACAACATTTCTTACATTTCTTTTGTAGCATATACAGTATCCAATAATATTATTATTATCTGCATTGTATTTATCTTGCTAGTGTAAGAGCTAAAAGCTTGCACATTCATTCATCCATTGATTCAGCAAAAATTTATTAAGTACTAGGTGCCACACGATAGGTAAAGTGCTGTGGAAATTGCAACGAGTAAGAAAAATGGATAAATCAACTATACGTCAATAAAAAAAAAAAGAAATCACACGAAAAAGGGAAATGGAGATAGGCCCTCAAGGAGATGCTGAGATCAAGATCTGCCTCGCTCATCTTGACTTCCACTGCTGAGCCTAGGAAAGCGCCTTGGACTTAATAAATACTTAGCGTTTGCTGAAGTGAATTTTTGACAACTCTACTAACTTAGTTTATGCCACTCTATTAAACAAGAGTATTTGAGCTTCAAACAGCACTCTAAAAATCACTTTTCATTCAACATTGTGAAATGATTATAAATCAATAAAAAATGTTTAAAAAAATCACTTTTCATTCATGTATACTAATCACTAAGCATTTCTTCTTCCATTCCTGTTACTCTGAATCACCAAGGCTTTATCCTGAAATTGTAACCAAAGTATTCAGATAACCCTCTAAATTTACTTACCTGGGTAACTGCTGAAAGAGAGGAAACTGCTGCTTGTGTCTTTATCAATGATGTTGAAGTCCCAGTGTTTGTATATCCTGAGCATGGCTGCATACGTGTACCAGCTTGAGTGAGCAAAAAAGATGTTCTCAAATCCAGGAAGAACCTGTAGCCAGAATTATAGTGGATGATGCAGAGGGATACAGATAACTGACAACAAAAGGAGGAAGTGTACAGGGTTGTGTCAATTCACACAGGTACAGGGTTGCTATATTCATTACTGGAAAATTAACCTTTTATGTGCACAAGACAGACTCTATTTTTGCTTCCAAAGTGAAAGATTCTGGAAGGTGGGACTGGCGGGTATATAAGGAAAGGAAAAATGATGAAAGAAGCAGAACCCACCCAATGCCCTCCATCAGTTCCTTCCAGTTCTCAACTTCTATGAGTGAGGACCCCTAAAGCTGACACAGAGCTGCAGCAAAGGGGTGAGATGCTGCCACACCTGGGTGACACACAGAAAAAGCCCAGAACAAGAGAAAGGCCGCTGTGTGTCTTACCTTAATAAGAGCAGAGCAGTGTCCCATGTCCCATCTCTTAGAAGAATTCAGGCTGGAGTTCTTTGTGGGAGAAAATGAAGGGATCAGGTCCAACAGATCTCCAACAGCATTCAGGAACTGAATCTGGAACAGTGTTAAAGGCTGGGAAGAGACAAAGATGGCACTTAATATTGACTTGGGACAATCAGCTGTCATGTTCTATTGCTGGGGTCCCTCTTGTAAGATATCCATTAAATTATTCCTTTGTGAAGGGTCTTGACTATAACAGATACACTAGATTGTATTGTGGCTTATAAAATAATTTTTTATTACTTTACAGTTTATGAGACATTCTAGCTTGTTACCCACAGATCTGGGGAGTAGGTCCTAAGATAGTAAAACGCACAGATCACTCTTTGCATTCCTCTATAGCAGGTTTTTTTCAATCTTGGCACTAGTGATATTTTGGGCCAAATAATTCTTTCTTGTTAGGCAGAGGGGTCTGTGGGATGTTTACCAGCATCCCTGGCTTCAGCCCACTAGCTATCAGTCACACCCTCCAAGATTTGACAACCGAAAATGTCTTTAGGCATTGCCAAGTAGCCTCTGGAGGGAAATCATCTTTAGCTGAGAATCCGTGCTTTACAGCAAAAATATTCAACTAAGATGCCTTCGATTTTGCTTGTGTGTTTAATACAGGACAAACAGCCTTGACAGCATTAAACCTGAAGCAATGATCAGTCTTGATCATAAACTCTGCATTAACTAGAGAGCACTGCTCCCGTGAGATTCAAACCACCAGAGTCACCCAGGGCTGGAGACCTGGAAACAAATTGATTTTCTGGCAAAGGGGTTGAGAAGACAGACACAAATGAGTGTTTTCACCAAAAAACAAAAATGAAAGCAAAAAACAACCAACCTGATTATTTATTTACATAAACATTTTCCTTGTTTTTGAGTAAGTAATACATTCATATTTTTGAGTAAGTAACACATTCATTATTTAAGACGTTTAAAATTATCATGAGATCTATAGCAGAAATTCTCCTCACCCCTATCCTCTGTTCGCTCAAGTTCCACCCTGTCTTCAGTTTACCACTTTTACTGGTTTCTTGTGCATCTCTCCAGACTTTTTTAAATGTCTTATAAATCATTTTTTTATAAGAACAGTAGTGTATTAGATACACTTCTCTTCACCTTGATTTTTTTCTCTTAATATCTTTAACTTAATATCTCTGGGACCTTTCTATAGTGGATGAAAAAAATCTTCCCTGTTCTTTTAAATAGTACTTCAGTGAATGGATGCATTATGATATTTTAACCAAATTTTTACTGATAGCCTTTCAGGTGGCTTCTAACCTTTGGTTATTATAAACAATGTTACAATAATCAATCTTGGACACATCATTTTGAATGTGTGTGAATCTGTGTGTAGGATAGATTCCTAGAAATAATTTTGATTTTAATAGATATTTCCAGGTATCTATTTTAATAGATACTGTCATCATAGGGCTTGTTTCAATGATTCTCTTACAGCCTCAAGAACATATTAAACATTTAGTGTAATTCCAATTTGATGGGTGAACAACACTATCTCACTGTAGTTAATACTGGCATTTCTTTTATTATGAGTATGTCTGAGTATATGTTTAAAAATCTTTAGATTTGTCTTTTGTGAACTGTTCATATGTTTTATCTATTTTTTTCTACTAGTTTATTCTTTTTCTTATCTACTTCCTGGAGTTCTTTAACTATTAGGGAGATCAGCTCATTGTCTCTGATACAAATTGTAATTTTTTCAGTTTGTAACTTGCATTTAAATCCTCAATGATTCGGTAAAACAAAAAATTATGAAAAAAAGTTTCTTTTGGATAGCACAAGGAACTATGTTCAATATCTTTGACGGAAAAAATATGAAAACGAATATATATGTATGTATGTCCGTGACTGGGACATTGCATTGTACACCAGAGATAGACACATTGTAACTGGCTGTACTTCAATTTAAAAAAATAGAAAAAAATTACGACGTTTGGGCATGGGTTTGTGTGTGTGAATGTGTGTGTCGTGGAGGATGGAAAGCATAAAACTTGTACACTTAGACATTTTTCTTTAATAATCATATGTCTAAAACACTAGCTTTATTGGGTTAATTAAATAGCCAGCACACGCATCCCAGACTCTTTAACCTGCTCCAGAGGACACTGTGAAAGAGACAGAGAACACAGAAACAAGTTGGCTGATCTGAGTGTTGAGCTTGGGTTTTGTGTCAGATACTGAGTCAGGTGCCAGCGATGAAACAGGTAAGACGGTACTTCTGTGTAAGAAATGTATTCTCTAGTACCAGTGTGATCTTCTTCACTGGAATGTAATTTAAAGCTAATTTTCAGTATTTTTTGCCACGCCATACAAATCCTGAGTAGCTTCTTAAAAATGTTACCTTTGTTCCCTCTAATGCAGCCCTCTTCATTGCCCCTACATACAGCCCATCCATCTGAGCCATAACATAGCCCGTGTGTCTCCAAAATGGGTCATCTTTGTAATATTTGCTGTTATTCCGGGTCCACTGATCTTGCTTCCTGGAAGGGAAATTAGACTTGGATTAGAGGTCTCTGTGGTTGTTCACTTGAAGCTAAATTAAACACAGGCATTTAGAGATTGTATATTCAGATACTTACGCTAGTATAATTAACATTATAGACCTTGTAACATTCCAATCATTTTGAAAGGATATGAGAGCAAATCCTCAAGTATTTTTAATTTCTCCCAAGGACTATGACTCTTCCTTTATAACCTCCCCCATGCTCTATCTAGGACCACCTAGAAACACAGGCATAATAGTTACCTATCTGTGATATTGAGACCTAGAAAGTCGAGTATAGACTGTCCCGATGCATCTCATATAAAATCATAATGTCTCACTAAATCAGTAAGGACAAGTTGATTGACTTTACTTTTGTAGATAGAAATGGTTAAGTTAAGTAACAGGAAAAAATAAAAACTCTTCAGGATAGGGTTTTTTGTATTTGTATTCCTCTCAGATCATTTTCACAGTTTAGGGTTCATTCTATCCCAGCTGTTGCTAGTAACTGCTTCAATGTGTCTGTCCTAGTAAAAAAAGTCTCGTTTTTTTTGTTTTTGTTTTTGTTTTTTACAGTCCTTTCATTTTGCTTCTCCTATTTTAGTTCTCTGCACTTCATGCAGAATGATTTGACATAACTTTGTATACTAAAAGCTGTTTCTGATTTGTTCAAACTGTCTCTGGATCAGTTTAAGAACACAGTGTCATTGCCCTTCCATCCTCAAATTAATCTCCTAGTCTGTCATCCCACAAATATAAAGCACATTTTCTGAACATTGAGAATTATTAGTCTTCAGAACACTTCATTAAAATGGAAATATTCTCAGAGGATGTTAAGAATTATAACTTTATCGATGAGCTAATATCCCAGCTAGGATTAGTCAGCAGGCCTGTGAAAAGGAAGCACCCCACGGGGCGGGGGTGGTTCTGGAGGGAGAGGGGCCCCAGGTGGAAGTCCCAGGGGGGTAACTTTGCAGGCTGTGCCCTGACGGTGTCTTCCTGCACGTGTGCCAGCGGTTGGTGATATGATATTCAATCTGACCCCTGAAAGAATCCAAATTACAAGGCATTTGTCTGTAATCAGTTTTCATGCCATGACCAAAAGCTGCCATACCTAACTTCAAGAACGACTTCTGAGTCCTGCCTGAGAGATGGAAAAAGAGACTGGCGAAGGAGAAATCTGTTTGAAGTGACAGATTCAGGCCCTGAAGCTTCACTTACCACGAGAAGAGGAAAACTATAATACGTACGTTAAAAACTCCTGGACTTTATTCATGACAGAAGGGTTCTTAATCAGCTGTGGGTAGAGGTTCGTGAAGTGGTCATGCATGTGTCTGAAACGATAGATGAGAATTGTTAATTTCTATTTTTCTTCTTGGATTTCTTCATCACAATACATTACCCAGTACCTTGGCTGACTGAGATGCCCTCTATTGAAAACTTTCCCTCCTGTCTTTTTTATACATCAAATGCACAATTTAAAATTGGGAATTATTTCCAACATATAGAAAAGCATAGATTATTACAAACACCCAAGTATCTACTATATCAAATCATTGTATTTTGCTAATTCGCTTTATATTTTTTAAAAAGATATAAAGCATAAGCTAAAGTTGAATCACTGATGCTAATTCCTCTCCCGTCTCCCCAGAGGTAACTGCAATCTTGAACCAGTGATTTATCACTCTCACACACATTTTTATACAATCACTATATACACATATATTTAACCATAAATAATGTATATTATTTATCATGATTCAGAACAAAATATAAATAAGATCACACTATCACTCTAACTTGTTTATTTCTCTCAGCATGACATTTTAAATGAATTATTCATGTTATCATCTGCAGCTTAAATTTATTCTTTTCATGTGTTGATGGGTATTCCATGATATGACTATGTAACAATTCATTTATGCAGTCCCATGATGGACATGTAACTGGTTTTTAATTTTTCACTCTTACAATGGATCTTCAAACATTGTTGGAAATGTATCTTTTTACACATTTGCACGTTCACCGAGGATGTATATAATATATACAAGTTGAGTTGCTGGGGTGCATACTCTGTATATCTACAGTTACTAGACGTTGCCAACGTGTTCTCCAAAGTGATGGTACCAGTTTACATTACCACCAGCTACGTTAGATTTCTCCTTGCTCTGCACCCTCACCAACCCTTGGCACAGTCAGCCTTCCAGATTTTCAGCAATTTGATGTATTTGAAATGATTTCTCATTTTAATTTCCATTCCTCTCTGGATTATTGGCTATTTGAGATTCCTTATTTTAAAACTTACTTAAAAAAATAAACTGTCTTTCATGCTATACAGAAAACATTTTTGGTGAGCTGTAATTGACACATATCATTGTATAATGATATATATATTTCATTTTGATAATCACCATAGCATGAGCAGTCACCTCTATTGTATCACGTAATTATAATTTTTTTGTGGTAAGAACAATTAGCAACTTTGAAGTCTCTTAGCAACTTTGAAGTTTATAACACAGTGTTGTTGACTATAATCACTATGAGATGCATTAGCTCTCCAGGACTTACTTGTCTACTCGCTGCAAGTTTGTACCCTTAAACATCTCCTCAATTAAACATTTTTTTAATTGAGAAAGTAATCCATTTACATCTATTGTGATTTTAATATACTTGGATTTATTTCTATAATCTTTTCTGTTTTCCATTTACAATCTCTTTCTTTGTCCCTCCTTTATGTTTTCCTTGTTCAGATAACATTTTCACTGTCCTTCTTTCTACTTCTGCTAATTTAGAAGCTATAAAATGTACAGTTGACCCTTTAACAACATAGGTTTGTGCTATGAGGGTCCACTATATGCAGGTTTTTTTTTTCAGTTAAATACAAACTCTCTTGATATGGAAGGCCAACCATAAGTCTACATGAGGATTTCTGATTGAGTAGGCAGGGTTGGGGGGAACTTTAGGTACCCCTTACCTAGTAGTTTCCAGAACTGAAACTGACAAAATGAGAATGGAGTTTTATTGCCAGGTAGGTAAACAATATTAAAATCCTTTGAAATATTTTAATTTAATGTACTTGAACTCAATAAACTTCATGAGTGCTTTTCCTTCAAATTATTTGTAAATATTTTTTTAAAATTAAATGATCACATTTAACTTCTGTTTATAAATCTTTTATGCTGCCGTATCTGTTCTCTTGTGCTGGGCACTTTCCCCCATCACCTCTAACACCGAGGGAGAGAACAGCAATAAAGCTGGACAGGGATATGGGGGACAGGGAAGGGACCCTCTGCCCAGGGCCTCATACTTCAGGTGAACGGAATGTAGAAAACCCGGGTGAGGCTGGTGACTTGATTGAGCTCTTTAGGGAAGCACAAGCCCTGCCTGGTGCCGGAGGCTGGTGGGGAAGTAGAGACAGCTGCTGGGACTGTCTGGGCTCTCGAGACAAATGAAGCCCCCCTCACACTTCCGTGAGTTTCACAGAGCAGCCAAATGTTTTCTTGTGTGGCTTCGGGAGGAATACGTGGACTCAGGGGCTGAAGGACCTGCTGGGGGCAGAGGACTTACAGTTGTGGTGACTGTCACAACCTCAGTGGCACTGATCATGCAGCTGGAGAACAGGGAAGCCTGTGGAAGCCTTGTCAGACATCAAGTGGGGAAGCACCCACACTGAAGACTCATGTGACATTTTTGAGGGCAGGACTGTGTCTGTCTTATCCTTGCTTTGCCCACAGCCTTGAGCTGGAGCCATACACAGTCTCTAATGTTAAAAGGAGCAAGTTGGGGGTATGAAGGAGATACTCAAGGTATCACTTGGAGATAAGACAAACCGCCAAAAGGTACCACATTTGACTGCTTTCTCCACTTGTGCCTTAATCTTGCTGGAACCTCTTTTCGTCACAGTTTTAGCAGTTGTTGTGTCAACACATCAACTGAAAAGGAGTGAAGAAGGTCCTCAGTCTCCCGCCACTTTGCTGTCTGCCCCGAGAGCCTGGCCCAAGGTAGTATAAGCGTTTGGTGCATCGAGTTCACTCACCCAAACTGGGTTAATTGCAGAGGAGGTCACCTCAGCACCTGCGTCAGCCACACAGGACACCAGGCACTTTGTTGAAAACTAGAGCAGACCAGGCCCCCACACCCTCATCCCCATTCTTTCCGGAAAGGTGTCATGACTCATTTTATTAAAGATCAATCTACAACTATTCATCAGCTTTTCCATCATTAGTGAGACATCAGAGACTCTTCATTTGCAACACTTAAGGAGCCACCCAAGAGTTAAAAAATGAAGGACGAAACTCCATTTGGCCGAGGGTGCTAGACACTGCGTTCCGTGGAAGTACGTACCTCACGCTTCTGATTCATCTCTATTAGAATTGGAGCAACAACATGAATTAATTAAACTTAATAGGCTTGTAATTAAGGAAGTGCTGGGGACAGAAGTGCTGTGCCAGGTGTCTGGGGTACACAAAGATGAAGGTAGGAACCCTGTCCTCAAAGCACTAACAGAGGGCAGAGGGGAGAGACGGGGCTCCCACCCAGTGGGCATCTCAGAAGGGTCTTGGAGGTTGAGCAATATTTCAATAGGTGGGGATGGGAGAGGCAGCAACTGGCTCTCAGGAGTCAGAGTTCTAGGAGTTGTCAGGAGCTGGGTGTGTGAGAGGCTGAAGGGCATCACAGCAGGGCTCAGGAGCCCATCGGAATGCACGTTTGTGTGGTGATGTCGACGTCACACAGTGAGGGACTCCTCAGGTGATGGGGCGTGGACAGTGGAAGGAAAGGGAGAAAAAGAAGAGAGCATGAGGAAGAGCAGGACGTTGAGAGAGGCCCCTGAAATTCTTTTTAAACACGTTTATTGTGGTATAGCTCCTGTAGAGTAAACTACAGGATTTTCAGATGTACGATTTCATGAATTTTGATAGGTGTACACACCCATGAAACCACTACCACGATCAAGATAGCTAACATTTCCATCACTCCCCAAGAGGTGCAATTTTTGAATTCTCAAACAATTCAAGGGATTCTCAAATCCCTTAAATTCTTAATTTATCCCTTCCCACTCCCTTTAACCCCTGGTCTGTTCTCTATATCTGTGAGTCTGTTTCTGTTTTGTAAATAAGTTCATTTGTGTCCTTTTTTTAGATTCCACATATAAGCGACATCATATGGTGTTTTTCTTTCTCTTTCTGGCTTACTTCACTTAGAATGATGATCTCCAGGTGCATCCATGTTGCTGCAAATGCATTATTTTATTCTTTTTTATGGCTGAGTACTATTCTGTTGTATATATATTCCACATCTTCTTTATCCAGGCCATCTGGGTTGTTTCCATGTCTTGGCTATTGTAAATCGCGCTGCTGTGAACACTGGGGTGCGTGTGTCTTTTTGAATTTCTAGCGCCTTCTCCCCACAGGATCTGCTGCGAAGGGATGATTCTGCAGAAGCGGCACAGGCGGGCGGCCGTAAGCTTCAGGATAAAGTACCAGGAGCTGGCCTGGGAGGGTGTTGTGAAAGTTCAAAGAAGCAACGAATTACCGAGAGCTTCAAAGGAAATGATGGAGGATCTGGGGGTATTTTGTGTGTGTGTTTTCATTTGGTCTCTTGAGTATTTCATAGGTTAGAAAGAGGAAATTCTATCTTCTGAGGTCATCAAACCAACGTCCTTATCTGACTATGTCGGTCGTTCACTCCACGGTGTTCGTCCTCTCACACACCTCTTCCCCCGTAAGGGTCAGGCGAATGTAAGGACCACCACCCCATTTTATATGTGGTGATGGGGGGAAGCGTGGCAGCCCGTACTTCCCACCGTTCTCGGCAGCTGCCTGGGTGACTTCGTCAGATGAGAGGAAAACAAGGCTCTTTCTTTCCGTCTCTGGCACGAACTCACCTTCTCAGCCCTGGCTCCAAGGCCGTGTCTTGGTTCGTGCGATTGTACTTTGCAAAGCACCCCCAAATAACAGCCCCCAAGTAGCACGTATTTTAAATTGATAAAATGATGTTTGTGTATGAAGATGCAGCTGCTTTTCAGACGATTGCCCACGTGGAGCTGAAGACAACCAAACAAAAAACTCTAGCCTTTGGCTAGCATTCCTTCTCCGCCACGGTTTGTGGCTATAGTCACCGCTTCAGAGGGCTGACGTTTTAAGCTCTTCTGCTTTCCCTCAGAGAATTCTGGACACCTTTGCTCAGCGGGGCCACACGGCCTCTCCGCTCTGGTGAGACAGTGCACATGGTGCTTATGGCTGCAGTGCTTGGTCTCAATTTTGTGACTCCTTCCAGCATCTTCTCTGCCCTTTCTCATCCCTGTGAGCCCCCCTTCCCTACTCTACTTGGCATTTCTCCTTCCTCCAAATTAA